TTGGGGGGAGGGGAGGGAGAGGGAGGAGGGATTGACATGTGAAGCAAGCTTATTCTTAATTTGAACTAATAAAAAATATTCATCATCATCCCTAGCAATTGGGGAGATGCAAATCAAAATAACTTTGAGTTTTCATCTTACACCACCCAAAATGCAAAGATCAATGGAACAACTGACAACAAATGGTGGAGGTGAAGTGGGAGAAAGGGAACCCTTATTCACTGTTGGTGGCATTGCAAACTGGTGCAGCCACTATGGAAACCAGTATGGCGAATTCTCAAAAAGCTAAAATAAATTTACTCTATGACTCAGATATATGACTCTTGGCATAGGCCATATTCTATTCCACAGATACTTGCTCAGCTATGTTTATTGCTGCTCTATTCACAATAGCTAGGAAATAGAAACAACCTAAATGTCCTTCAACTGATGAATGGATAATGAAAATGTGGTACATATACACTACAGAAAACTATTCAGCTTTAAAGAAAAATTAAATCATGAACTTTGCAAATAAATAAATGGAACTAAAAGAGATCATATTGAGTGATGTAACACAGACCCAGAAAGACAAATGTTGCACGTTCTCTCTGATTGTAGGCTCTTAGATCCGAATCTTTATATGTGAGTACATAGCTTGTAGTAACCACAGAAACCATGAAAGTGAAACAGGATTGTTGCCAGGATATGGGACTTGGGAGCAATAGAGTGGGGAATAGCAGTGTACACATGATCTGATCCAGGAAATGGAAAAGGGAGGCTTATTGGGGTGAGGAGAGGGCATAAATACCAAAGAAGGTGGAAGGAGGGCAGAGGGGAATAGCAGGGTACAAGTGATCTGGGGAAGTGGAAAGGGGGAACTTTTGGGGAAGGGGGAGGGAGATTAATCCAGAAGAAAGAGGGAAGTGGGTAAAATAACAAATAATGATGTCTGGAAAAGCCACAGGGAATCGCACTATTAACTATTTACCAAAAACAAAACAAAACAAAACAAACAAAATACCCAAACACCTATAATAGATGTAATTCTGTATATAAATATTCATGTAGGGTTTTAATAAGTATTTGTCATCTAGACTGATGGTGCTCCCTCTAAGAGCCAAAGACCTCTAAACAAAAACCCTAACACCAGACATGAGAAACCCTCTTTTAAGTTGTTGGCCAGGGTTGTCCAAGAGATTCTCAAAACACACACTCTATTGCTGTTGCCATTGGTTTCTTCCCAGAGGTGGAATGTGAGTCCCTATTACTGAAGACACCATGCACTTCCAAAACAGGGCCAGAGACCCCTGAGCTGGAACTGACCTGAAAGCCCCCTCCCTGAGGACTAGCTTTCATAGTACCAGAAGGCACCACGTAAGCTCCCAAAGGAGGGAGGCAACCAACAGTCCTAACCAGCTATGGTGCCTATGAACCACATCAGCAAACATTATAGCACAATAACCCTAGTAGTGGCACGCATACTTTGGTGGTAACCAACAGCTCTCTAATTGCACTTAAGACCTGCTCAACAAGAGGGAGACCATGCTTAGTACTGGAAATCTAGCTGACTATCCATTGCTAGTGAAGTCATGGTTACTGGAGGAGAATCTACAACCACTAATTTACTAATCCGACATAATCCCTAACAACAATCTATGCATTTGTCCTTTTATCCACAGATATGTATAGCCTCCTTCCCTCATCAACGAAGCTTCTCTTTGCAACAGATGGGGACCATTACAGAAAACCACAACCAATCAAAATGCAGAGTTGTGGAGCCCAGTCCCACTCGATACATCTACAGAAACTCCTGCACCTAAAGCTCAGGGAACTTTGTCAGAGAGAGGGTGGAAGACTGTAAGAGCCAGATAGTCATAGAGTTTGCTGTGATATTAAGTTTCTTAGTAATATCAGAAGCTACACCCAGAGTCTCACCAGTGTGACTGCCCAAATGTGATCTGAACAAGGATACCAATGAACATACATGCCAACCTGGATGGAGAGAAGGCCAAGAGGCCTCTACACACAAAACTATAGGCAACTAAGGGAGGCTGGGAATGGGAGAGGTGGCCTTCCTCAGGGAAGAGAAGACCAGCTGGTTGTCCAGTGACAAATGGTCAGCCCTGAAAATATACACACATACATTATAGGTAGCATTATATGGACTGGATGAATAGGTTGTATTTAGGAATATGCATGTATGTACACATACATATATGCATGCAATAATAATTAGTTTTTTTAAAAAGATTCCATGAATTTGAAGGAAAGCAAGGAAGGGTATGTGGGAAAGTTTGAAGGGGAAAATGTTATTAAATTATAGTCTCAAAAATGAAAAAATAAATATGTAACCATCATCTATCACTTTCATAGATGGAATATATATATGTTTGGCATATGCATATGTGTTTTACACACACATGTATGTGTGTGTGTGTGTGTGTTTGTGAGCCTAGATTAAAAAAAACTGTAGTAAAAACTCTCATAAAGACAAATTTAAAACATAAGGATCAAAAGTGTGAATCCCCACTTGCTGTCCCTGTGTCTCCCTTCAGCCCACTGTTCTCTAGGTCCTAGCACCCCATGTACCTCATTCCAGTACCTGTGTCTTGGTTGATGCTGAAAGCTTCCAGGCCAGTGCCAGCCCGTAGGAAGTACTGGAGCTCTCCATCCAAGCCACCATCTTCATCCTGGGCTGTGACTACCATCACCTGGGTCCCTGCAGGGCTGTTCTCCTGCACCTGGCCCTGGTATACGAAGGATGAAAAGTGGGGAGAGTGGAGATTCTCATTTACATCCAGGACTAACACTTCTACGTGGCAGAGGGTCCTTCGGGCTAGAGGCCTCCCACTGTCACTGGCCCAAAGGCTCAGATTGTAACCAGCCCTCCTCTCAAAGTCCAACTCTCTTTCCAAACTCAGAGCTCCAGTCATCGGCTCCACCCGGAAGGTTCCATGGACATCATCCACCAAGATGTATCTCACTTCACCTGCAGGGCCCAGGTCAGGGTCAGAGGCATCTAGGAATGTCAAGACTGTCCCAAGGGGCAGGTCCTCTGGCACCTTCAGCCTACTGTGCTCTGTGATGCACTGGGGAGCGTTGTCATTGGTGTCCTCTAATGTGACTATCAAGTCAGTGACAGAGAAGAGCTGGTGGCCCTTCATGGGCTGGTCCCTGGCCTCTACCTTGAGTATGTACTGAGGCTCTGATTCCCGGTCAAGGTGTCCTGTGACAACCAGCTCCCCAGTGAGTGGGTGGAGAGAGAACTTCTCTGTGGGGGTTAGCAGGGAATAGCGAACCCTCCTGTTGTCTTCTGAGTCAGCGTCTTTTGTCTTCAGCTCTGCAATCGTGGTCCCAACTTCTGTGTCCTCAGAAATGGTGAGCTGGTACCCACCTGGAGGAAACCTGGGTGGGTTATCATTCCAGTCTTTCACAGTCACTGTCAACAGCTTCCAGGAGGACTTCTGGGGAGTTCCCAGGTCGTACACAGTCACATTGAGGACATAGAGGCTGGGGGGCTCCTATCTTCAGCTCAATGTCAAAACAACCTTCCTCATTGCCATCTGCAATTACATAGACCAGACTGCCATGAAAGCCAGCATCTGGGTCAGTGGCAGCCAGGCGGGCCAAGGGGGTGTTGATAGGAACCTGTTCCAGAATGTCAATGGTCTGGGGGAAGTGGTCCTCAAACTGGGGAGCATGATGGTTGATCTGATAGTTGCTGAGGGAGGTGAATTCCTCTTCACCCAACTCTTGGCCCTGAAGCCCAGCAGACTGGAGGATGGTCTTTGTGATATAGGTCAGCACTCCTGTTTTATCACACTGTACAGGGACCTCAGAGTGAGGATCCTTCACCACAGTGACTTTCAGAGTTGTGGGGGTGGCATAGTTGTTGCCATCAGAGGCTGTAATCTTCAGAGAATAGATGGTGGGTCGAACAGCAGTGGCATTCATAAAGGAGCGTTTGAGAGATATCACCCCCGAGAAATGGTTGAGATGGAAATAGTCTTGTTCGTTGCCAGACACAATTTCATATCTTAGGTTCTGAAGTTCATCCATGTCTATGGCAGACACAGCCATTATCGATTTCCCAACTGGTGCATCTTGACGAAGGGACACAGTACAGTTGACTTCCTCAAACATAGGCTGGTTGTCATTCAAATTCTTGAGCCTCAGAGAAACAGACACCTCCTTCTCCTGGCGAAAAGGAGACCCCCAGTCTGATGCCCGGACCCGGAAGGTATATATTCTTCTCATGAGTTCATAGTCCATAGGTTTAGTGGTGGAGATGACCCCCAAGTAAGGGTCAATAGAGAATGGGACAACTTTGGGGGAAACAATAGAATAGCTGACACATCCATTGTCCCCATGGTCCTGGTCTGTGGCTGTCACAGTCAAAACACTGGTACCAGGAGGGATGTTCTCATCCAAGGTACCTTCATAGGAAGACCTATTGAAGACTGGGGCATGGTTGTTACAGTCCACAATGTCAATAATCACGGTGGTAGTGGCCAGGCCCAGGGAGGTTTTCACATGGAGCTGATACTGGCTTTGCTCATGGAAGTCCACAAGCTTCATGGTGGTGATTAGGCCTGTGCGAGGATTGAGCTTGAATACTGTGTTCCCAGAAGATGGCTTTAGAGTATAACGCAAAGTGGGAAGGGCAGTCGTGACCTTTACCAATGCCACACGACTTCCGGGCGGAGAGAATTCGCTGAGCTTTACTCTGTAAACAGCCTTCTCGAATCTGAGGTTGGTCAGCCTGGAGGGTGGGAAATGGAAGGCCCTGATGGGGGAGTGGGCAAGAGGTCTGCTCCTACTGTGGGCCTGGAAGCTGAGGTTGAAGCCATGAAGGTGTTCTGCCCAGTTAATGTCCCTGACTGCCACCAAGTTGAACTCATTGTCTTGGGCATAGGACTTGAGGGCTTTGAAGTACTTTCCAGGATCACCACTAACCACCTCCAAGGAATCTACTTGAGCTCCGGAGCCATTTGTATCCACTGTGACAGTGGCATAGATGGCACCTTCATCACCATCTGGTGGAGTCATGACCACGGAGGTGATAGCTGGGGGCTTCCTGTGCACAGGCTCCACATGAACTACCAATGCAGCCAAGTTGCCAAACCCGTTGCCCTCTGAGATTTTCCTCATGCGGTCCACAGCCTGCACCTGGAGCTCATACTTCCCTCGCCATGTGACATTCAGTTTCCTGGCCACAGTGACCACCCCACTAGTGGGATGGATGGCAAACACCTCTGACCTGGCATTAAAGGCATAATAGAACTCAGAGTTCTGGCCCAGATCGGCATCCGTGGCAGTCACTTTGCAGATGGGGCTCTTGAGGGGCACGTCCTCAGAGATGGTGACTCTGTAGGAAGGTGGGGAGAAGAGGGGCTTCAGGTCATTCTGGTCCAGGATGTGGACTACCACTCGGGTCAGCGCTTCAAACTCCAGGCTCTTGTCTGAGGCTTGCACTATGAGCGTATAGCTGTCTCGAACCTCCCTGTTGAGAAGCGCTGTGTTGCTGCTCTTGGTCCTTATTCTAAGAAAGCAGAAGTTGCCCACCACATACTCCTCAGTCTTGAACACTCCAGCTGCATCTCCAGAGATGATCCGGTACTTCACCATCCACTGGGGATCCGCCAGGTACATGCCCATCTTCACTGGACTCTCCACATAGGTCTTGGGAGCAGAGTTTTCATAGATGGTGGCATTGTACAGGGAATGTGTAAAGCGCCAAGCCAAGGGAGGAATGGTTTCTTCTAGGGGCTTTTCACAGACCACATGGTGGAGCAACAGAATGGCTAGACCCAGCAGGACAAGAGTCATGATGAAAAGCTCCTAAATAAAAAGAGGGAAAAGGTTCAAGTTGGTGAGGAAACAGCTCCTATCGCTGTGGTTCTTTCTATTTAAAAAGCATATATTAATTGCATTTAATAACTGGTTTGATTATGACAAAATTTTCATACATAAATATAATGTATGTGAATTATGTTTACCCTCTTTTATTCCTTCTCTCATTCCCATAGGTCCTCTTCCTCAACAGTGCAAGGGAGGATGCAGAATAAAAAGCATAGCTATACCTGCTCCCCACCCATTGCTGTGGACAGAGCCTCCATCTGACTTATCCTGTGTCAGAACACAGACAGCAGGAGATAGCCTCTCAGGGGCCTCCTGTGGATATATTCTAGTTCTGACACTCATTGGTCCCCCCAACCAAAACCTCTGTGGATACCTTGCGAAGGTAAAATTGTTCCAACTCTTAGCCAAGGATCTAAGCTTAGCAGTTTCTCTTGATAAGACCCCTCCACTGGTGCTGAGCTAGAACCAAACTATAGTGCATCTGTGTACACAGGGACTACAGGAAAGCACCACCACCAAAATCTCAGATCTGGCACTAGGCTACCTAGATCTCAACCCCAGCTCCCCATTTGCTAGATGGGTAGCCCTCCAGCAAGTCCCTGACCTCCATAAACCTTGATTCCTTATTCTATGACATAGGCCTAAAAACAGTATCTAGATGGCACTGGAGAAGATGGCCCAGTGACTAAGAGTACATACTGCTCCCAAAACCCACATTAGGTGGTTCACAGTTCCATCTGTCTCCAGCTCCAGGGAACCCAACATCATCTTCTGGCCTCTGCAAGTACCCACAGTCACTTGCACAAACTCACACAGACACATACATACACATATAGAAAAAAAAAACATTTAATATATATGTTAGTGTATTATTTAGGGTTGAAGAGTAGAGTGCTCATCTAACATGCATGAGTCTCACTCAGGGGTGGGGTGGTGCATTCCTGTAATCCCAACACTGAGGAGATACAAGCAGGAGGATCAGAAGTTCAAGGTTCTTTACATAGTGAATTTGAGGCCAGGCTGGGCAACATGAAACCCTATCTTTAAAAACAGTGTGTGGGTGGTTCTATCTCATAGCAGTGTTGTGTAAATTAAAGGGAAAAATGAAGGTGAGTGATCTATCGGGGAGCCAGTATGTAGTAAATTTTGACAAGATTAGCCATTATTAATGGGAAGGGTGAATTCAGGGACTTGCATAGATCAGGAAACAAAGCAGGAGTTAAAATGGAGCTCCTATAGTCACAGGCTGGGCTGCTTCCTCTGTCCCAGGCTTAGGGACACCTAGCCCACCCCTACTCACTATGGACAGAGGTTTACTGGAGATAGACGCTGGGAATGTCATATCCCAAATGGACCTCAAAGGGGCTCTGTCTTCATGTGCAAACGGGCAAGGAGTTCCATTCTGGGGATGGGTCTTACCCCAGCTCACATGGCAAAAAAACAAAACAAAGAAAAAAAAAACTATTCTGGGGGTGCAGCTTGCCCCAGCTCACATATGGGTGGCCAGGTCTGAACTAGTCCAAGAAACTGGTTCTCCTTAAACTAACCTCCTGGATCCTCTGTCTTCTCCACTGACTTGCCGTGTCCCATAGACCTGAGCCTGCGCCAAAGAACCAGGGGTAGAAGCCGATTTGGGAGCCCAGTGAGAGGGCTGAAGTCGGGTCTGCCCCTGGGAACCCCATTCCCAGGAACACCCTGGCTGTGGGCCATGTGTGAAGCATTCCAGGGTAAGACGGGACAGACTCGTTTTTCTGGTTATCTCGCTCTTCAAAGGCACCGAATAGTTAAACTTCCAGGGCAAGGGGGAAAGGAGGAGGGAGCCAAGTCATCTCAGAGTCCCCAGTGAACAGGGCACAGGGTTCCCTGACAGCCTGCAGGAAATGTTTTGAGATGGGAGGCGGGAACGGAAAAGCCCACCTGACCCGGGTTCTGGAAGCCTGGGGCAGAAGAGGGGCAGAATCTAGCCCACCCTTCGAGCTTCACCACCTCAGTCTGTCACTTAAGAGCTTGTTGGGGTGCCTAGAGCCCAAGCATCTCTGCAAAAGGACACCGGACAGAGGTATCCACCCATACTTGGGGGTCCACAAACCAGTGTTCCTCACCCTCCTGGCCCCCATTCTTACCTTATTCTGTCCTGCAGCCCCAGGCAGAAGCCATACAGGACTACCCTCCAGCCCCGCGAGCAGGAGGAGAGCCCGAATCACGCAGGTCCCTGCTCTCACAGGATGGCGTGGTCTCTGAAGTTGAAATGCCAGAAGGAAGGAACCCTTTCCTCAGTATTGGATCCTCAGCTCAGGCAGCCAGGTGCTTGCAGCCCGCCCTGGCTGCTCTGCTTGCCCCGCTGTGCAGGGCGCTTCCTGTTCCCCTGGGTCAGCACCAGCAATGGGCAGGTCCCAACAAGAGCAGGCTCAGCCAGCATAGGCGCCAAACCGACCCGTTAAGATGCACTGTACGGATGAGGTGGCCACGGGGTCTCCCTGGGGGATGACAGACAGAGAGATGCACCCTGTGGGCTTGATGCATGTGCCCACATGTAATGTATAGGACCCACAGAGAGCCACGGTGGGCAGGCAGCCTGTGGAGGAAGGGCCCTGTGCCTACAGGGCGGTTTCCTGGAATCTGGTCCCAACAGGTGAGCATGCTCGCAGGGTGTAGAGGCACCCAGGCCTCCCTGTCGTACCCTCCAAGCTTCTCATACCCAGGAGCACTACATGAGACTTCTTGTTAAAAAAAAAAATACACAGCAATTCATATCTTCGTATCATTTGCCAGTTAAATTTTTACAGTCAATTTTTTCTAATTTTCCCATAAATCTTAGATTATGATCTAATCACCTTAGGATGGCTTATAATGTCCTGGAACCACCTGACAATGTCGTCACACCATTCCCCGAGCTATTGCTATCCTGGCACTGCCTTTTCCCTTTGCAAACACATTAAGTGGGGAGCTGCCCCAAGACCTTTGATTTTTGTGGCTTTTTTTTTCTTGGAACTCGCTCTGTAGACCAGGCTGGCCTCGAACTCACAGAGATCTGCCTGCATCTGCCTCCCGAGTGCTGGGATTAAAGGCGTGAGCCACCAATGCCCGGCGATTTTGTGGCTTCTTAAGCCTCTCACTTCTTGACATTTGCTTTTCATCTCATGTTGCCTCCTAACCTCCGTTTGAAACAGCCAGCCCATACCTCTTGTTACTTCAGGGTCTTTATCTTCAACCTGTTTGTCCAGTGACTATCCTCACCCACTGAACACTGGGCTCCACAAAGACCAGGGCTTTGTGCTCCTTGTTCGGGGTGGGATCCCCAGTGTGTGCAGAGATCAGTTCTGGGTGCACACCAATTTCAATTGCTATCAGCTAAAAATGAAAGTTCTGGACCTAGGAAAAATCATGAGAGAAGAAAATGGAACTAATCTTTGGAGATGGTCCCCTCCTTTCAGAAGTGGGAAAATATGGGGCTTGAGAGACAGCCTGGAAGTTAAAAGCACTTGCCAAAATTCCAGGAGACCAGGGTTTGGTTCCTAGCTCTCATAGCTGGTGGCTCACAAGCACTTGTAACTCTGGCTATAGGTGACCCAACACTGTCACCTGAACTCATGAGAACAAACCCACATACAGACACATAATGAAAAATAAGCTGTCATTTTTTTTTAAAGGAGGGGGAGGAAAATAAAGTCCCAAAGGAAGAAAGGGATTTGCCCAAAGTCACAGAGTGAGGATGACAGCCAGGGACTTTCCTCCATCTGGGCCACCAGAAAGTGATGCTGTGTCTTCTGAGGGCCCCAGTTCCAGCGCCATCCCTCGGCCAAAGGTATTGCTTTGAGTCTTCTACTTGACCTCTGGGAACTTGTTCTCCCTGTCTGGAAGATGAGCTGGTAAGAACTTCTTACCCACTGGGTTTTATGAAAAGGAAGGAAAATTGTGAACATGAATGCACTGACCACAGTGCCTGGTGCCTTCATACAACCTGGTGAGTGCTTCATTCTCAATGAACCAAGGCCTGGGATGGGGAGGGGTTGGGGCCCACTGACATCTCTGGAGAGAGTCCAGCCTATGCCCCATTGGAACAGGATGCAGGTCTATGCTCGGCTCTCAGCTTGCTGGCCTCAATCCATGCTGTTCTGGAAGGTTGCTAGCAGGTACTTGTCTGGGGTGGGGCCTGACGCTCCCCAGCTGCCCAGGCCCAGACAGACAGGAAGGGAACACAGGCTGAGGGGCTCACTTTGGACTATCATGTGGAGAATGTCAAGTCATACACATCTGTTCATGAATAAAACCCTGTGAGGATCTATGTACAAATCCCAGCCCCACTTTGCAAAAGAGGGCCAGCTGTGTGGCCTCAGGTGATGGCTTGCCTTCGCTGATCCTCAGTTTTCCCAGTTTATGAGAATGAAGTCAGGGAGAACACAGCTGTGAGACCTGGTTTTCCGTGCCAGCACATCTCAGAAACAGGCTCATCCTATTAACAGTGGGCCTGGAGATAAGGAAGACTTTCAGGTACTCTCCTGTCCATATCTGATCTGAATCTGCTCATCTGCAACATAATGCCACCCGGTTGTTTGTTTGCTTGCTGGTTTTAGTTTTCAGATTTTCACTCATCCTCTTACATTTATTGATGACAGAGAGAGAGAGAGAGAGAGAGAGAGAGAGAGAGAGAGAGAG